AACCCCAAATTTGTATCCTAATCTAGACCTCTCTTCTCAACTCTAGGTTCATATCCAGTTACCTACTTGGCTATCTAATAATTATCTCAAATTCAACATGTCCAAAACTGAATTCCTGATCTTTATCCCAAAACCTCTTCTGCATGCACCTTCCATAACTCAGTTACTCAAACCAAAAACCGTGAAATCAGTCCTGAGGCTTCCACTTCACTCCCACTCTGCATCCATTGTACTAGGAAGACCTGCCATCTTTCCCTTCAGAATGTATCCATACTCTGATTGCTAAACTCTCTTAGTGATACACCCTTCCTCCCATTCTTGCCCTCTTTACTATGTATTTCAACATAGCAATCATAGTGATCTTTTTAAGACGTAGTCAGATATTGTCCCTTCTCTACTCAAAGCAGTCTAAGGGTGTCTCACTCAGTAGAAGCCATAATCCTTGAAGTGACTAGAAAGATCTCCTGTATTAGGAGTTGACAAACTGTGGCTCTGGGACCACTTTGATCCGCTGCCTGTTTTTGTATGAGCTGTGGGCTAAGAATGATTTTTATGTTTTTGTAGTATATGTGCTGCCGAAGCGAGCACGATTTTTATGTTTCTAAATGGTTAAAAAAGTGGTATTTTGTGACATGAACATTAGATGAAGTTGAAATTTCAGTGCCTATAAATAAAAGTTGAATTGGAATACAGCCACACCCAATTGTTTGCATACTGTCTTATGGCTACATGTGCACTACAGAGGCAGAGTTAGTTAGAGACCACCTGGTTCCAAAGCCTAATGTACTTTTTATTTGGTCCATTAAAGAAAAAGTTTGCCAGCTTCTGCCCTGTGTGGTCTGGTCCCTTACTTCCACCCGGAGTCCTCACTGCCCTTTTCTCCTCATGCACCCCGCTTCAGCCTTCCAACCACAGTAGTCTCCTTGTTGTGTCTCCATCTGACCAGGCACATTGTTTTTCCCCTGCCAGGAATACTCATTCCTGAGATCTCTGTATGGCTCATGCCCTTTCCCCATCAAGGTTTACTCAGGCATCAGCTTCTCAATGAAGACTAACCATAATCCTACCCTCCTCTGTGTAGTATCTGCACGTATTTATGCTGTCCCCTGCTTTCTTCCCCATAGCACTTCACACTTTCTCACATACTGTTTAGATTACTTATTTTTACATTTATTGTGTTTTGGTTGTTTCCCCCACTCTGGACTTAGAAGGGTGGGAATTTTTGTCTGTTTTGTTCACTGATCCAATTTAAGCACCTAGAGCAGTGGTTGGCTTATTATAGATGTTCAATGAAGACTTCTTGAGATGCACTGAATTATTGGTTCTTTAACCAAATGAGTCATCTGACTGGTGGGTACAGCTCTGTCGTTCTGTCCCTGTTGTCAGGAATGGGGAAGGGCTAGCGTGTGTGCCTTCAGTGAGGAGATGTGTTTTCTAGTTACCACTTCCTTGAATGGGTTACTTGATAACATCTTTTCCATTCTGCTCCCTGATAATAAGTGTTTAGAAAGCTTTCTGATTGACTTAGCTGGTTTGCGCAGTGCATTTTATGTTAGGAGTGCAGCTGTCCTGCTATCTTTGTTTACACTATTAATTGAGTAGGGACGTTTTTGCCTGTGCCCAGTGTTGCAAGGCTTCAAATGATGTGGTGGGATTGAACTTTTCCATCATGATAGGTGTTTCCAGGTAGGAATGAAAAGCTGGATTTTTGGAGTAGGTATATGTAATTTATGGGTTTTCCAGTTTAGCTTTCTCATATGTGCCTTTTTAATATAGAAAATAAAAGGAAATTTCCAGAGGAAAATACTGAAATTCAGTATTTTTTTTTAAGTTACTATTGTACAGAAAATGCCACCATGTAGGAAAAGTTTATTTGAAGGGATTTGGAAGAATTATTGAATTTATATGTATTTGCTCCTGTTTTAATGTATCTTGATTGGTTCATTTTTGTATGCCTTGTACTATCAAGCACAGTACCAAGTACAGAATAGATGATAAATAAGTATGTATTTACTAGTAAATCTCTTTATCTTAAACTAATCCTCTTGGTATATCAGTGAGATGTCTTTTTCTTATTTTATATTTGCCCATCTTTAATATAGTGAACAATAATGACAAACCTAGACAGTGTATTAAGAAGCAGAGACATCACTTTGCCCACAAAGGTCACATATAGTCAAGTCTGGTTTTCCCAGTAGTCATGTTTGTATTTGAGAGTTGGACCATAAGAAGGCTGAGTGCAGAAGAATTGATGCTTTTGAACTGCGGTGTTGGAAAAGACTCTTGAGTCTCTTGGACTGCATGGAGGTCAAACCAGTCTATCCTAAAGGAAATCAACCTTGAATATTCATCGGAAGGACTAATGCTGAAACTGAAGCTCCAGTACTTTGGCCACCTAATGTGAAGAGTTGACTCACTGGAAAAGACCCTAAGGCAGGAGGAGAAGGGGACAACAGACAAAAAGATGGTTGGATGTCATCACCAACTCAATGGACATGAGTTTGAGCAAGCTCTGGGAGATGGTGAAGGACAGGGAGGCATGGTGTTGCTGCAGTCCATGGGGTTGCAGCGAGCTGGACATGACTGAGTGGCTGAACAACAAAATAGTTTTCTGGTGATATGTGTAGGCTTTTCCATGTGTGTAGGCTTTTTTCCATGCCATCTGCAGATAGTGACAGGTTTACTTGCTCCTTTCCAGTTTGAATTATCTTTATTTCTTTTTCTTCTCTGATAGCTGTGGCTAGGATTTCCAAAACATGTTGAATAAAAGTGGCAAATATGGGCCCAGAGCTTGATGTTTGGGTAGGGTGTTTACTTTCCATACTAATGACTGAAAAGTGCTATTGGTGATCCATAATTTCTCCACTATGTCAGCTTTTCTTTTTTTTTTTAAAGATTTATTTGGTTGCATTTGTTCTTAGTTGTGGCACATGGACAGAACACCCAGGCTCAGTACTTGCAGAACATGGGCTTAGTTGCTCCATTTTATGCGAGATCTTAGTTCCCTGACCCGGGGCCAAACCTGCATCCCCTGCTTTGCAAGGTTGATTCTTAAACCACAAGAGCACCAGGCACGTCCCACTACATCAACTTTTACTTTTTACTTTTACATCAGCTTTTTACATTCTTCTCTCTTTTTCTGTTTTCAACCAACTTTCATAATATGTTTGACTTACTGGTTTTACCTTTTTATAGAGAGCAGCTTGTGGATTTTGTTTTCATTTCTCATGTAAATGTACAGCAGTCTTTGGCTGCAGGATTCACAACCAAGTACTGAATGGTTGAATCCTCTAGAATGGAGTGAGGTTGGAAATGGGAAATGCAAAAAACTCTAAACAGTATATTATGATCTTTATACAAAAGACAAAATTCTAGTAACAGGGTGGTCTTTGAAATGTCTCTTGCCATTGATCATGTTTTAGTTTGTGTCTTTGTTGTATAAAAGGACCCTGTGATTTGCAGTTTATGTATGTTCCCTCTTTACTTTGATTTGATAGATGGAATAATCAGAGTAGTTTCCATCTATTGTTTTTGTTCAGTCGCTTAGTTGTGTCTGACTCTTTGCAACACCATGCACAGCAGCACGCTGGGCTTCCCTGTCCTTCACTATCTCCCAGAGTTTGTTCAAACTCATGTCCATTGAGTTGGCGATGTCATCCCATCTCGTTGTCCCCTTCTCCTCCTACTGTCAATCTTTCCATAATTAGTTGTTACTAGGTAACTTAAAAAACTCAATCTTCACTGGCTTATTTCAGGTGGATTTTGTAAGTCAGAGTCGGGGAAGTTGGTTATAAGATGTGAATTGTGTTGCATGTAGGTCACAACTTAGTATCATTTGACTCCTAAAAATTCAAAAAGGATCTTTTTTTCTTTTAAGAGAGTAACTGTTAGGAAATTATTGTAGATAAAAGTAAAAGGGGGATTTCCTTATTTAAGGGAAAATTTAAAGGAAGTATTCTTGTCTGGAAAATTCCATGGACAAAAGGAGCCTGGTGGGCTACAGTCCATGGGGTTGCAGGGAGTCAGACACGACTGAACACACAATGCAGCACAACACACACAACACTGAGATGAAGAGGAAGCGGTTTCTTGTGGGTGTTTATGTATTCTTTGGTGTGTGTTTCTCCTGATAGTCATGTAATGTATATGTTCTATTTTAATAGTCTCTAGTTTTCCTTTCTTTCTTCTTCTTCTTCTTTTTTAATTTACAGCTGGCTTGTTAGTATATAAGGACCTCAGTAGTGTTCAGAAAAGCTTATTTTTACCTTACCTGGAATAAAGTCTCATTAAAAGTGGAACATAGGGGTAATAGAATAAGTCTTAGACCTCTGGGCATAGATATGCTTGGGATTCTGGTGACAGGCATTCCTGGGTAGTGAACTAAGGATTGGGTGAATACCAGCAGGGTGGCCTAGCGCTGCATGTAGGCTGACAGGGCACTGAAGCCTCTGGGGAGCTAGGAGAGGAGAACCCACAAAGCAGGCGGAATTCCAGGCCTGAAATGATGAAAGAAGAGATGTTGTTCCAGCATATATTGTAAGTCTGATTGCAGTGTCAAATGGAAAAGTTTCATGGTTACAAGCAAAGGTGTTATATTTCCAGGTGTCCTTATCTACTTTTCAGATAGGCCTGACTGATGCCAATTTCTGTTGAAAATGTCATGGTTAATTGCAACATTTTCCCCACCAATAGTAGTATTAAATTTTCTTGTTGTATTTCTTTACTGAATCTCTGTTTGTTAATGTATTCATCTCATTGAGTACAAGTCAGTCGTCTGCCACTTTGTGGCTACCAAGAGAGTTATTTCTCTGGTCATATCACTTAGGCTCTTGGGCCCAGGCCTTCAAAGGATGTTTTAGCTTTTGTTTAAAATAAGTAATTTTCCACTATAAAGATTGTTCTGTTTTATTCAGTAATATGTTTATGGGTTTCACCCTCTGATATGAAACTAATCATAAATAAACATTTTTGAAAAATTGTTTTTCTTTTTCTCTTGCAAGTGTACTCTAGAGAACAAGCCTTCAGATATCTTTGCCATATTGACTCTGAGCCATCAGGGGACTCAGGCTTATGAGGAGGTACTGTCACACAAAACAGTGTCTAGTGAAGACGACAAGAAAGAGGGGAAAGGATCGGAAGAAGAAGCTAAAATACTATAGGAAACCATGGTAGGTTATCATTTATAATTCCTTAATTTAGTTACCAAAGAGCTCAGTCATTTAAAGTTGAAACTATTAACAGTGAAGGCAAGTAAAAACAGTGGTGTTAATTTTTGGCTCCAGTGCATCAGCTGAAGATGCCATTTTACTCTTTAAGCAAAGCGAATGAGTTCAGATTTATTACGAGCCCTTTAAACCACAAGATGGAGCCCCATGAGCCTATAGTCCATAAATTATTAAATAGAAAGGAGGGAATGCTCATAAATAATATTTTATAATAAAACTGGTATTAGCAAACTGATACAAATGGCTAAGATGCCCTTGAACTTGAAATTACGTAATTTTTCTCTAGCCTTGACTGAGCGACTGAACTGAACTGAACGGAACTACCTGAAGCTCAGTGTTTTAAAGTCCTGAACCAGTTCTTTAAGTAATGATTTGAAGGGTTTGCAGTTTGTAAAATGTGTGTGTATTTAACTGAAAAAGACATGTTTTTTCTTTTCACGTGCTTTTGATTTTAAAATAATAAGGTCAAATATTGAGTGTATTGAGGATACTGAACTGAATATCCTGGAAACCTTAGTTTTTATGGAAAGTTCATACTTAAATTGAATTTGAGATATTAGATGAGGTTATAACCTTTCCTGCCTAATTTTTTAATTGGTAAAATATGCTGAATTTTTTTGCCTTGCATTTTGGTTCTGAAGGATATGTGATTCCGCGCCCCCTGCCCCCGCCAAGTGTTAGTGAGAAAAGGCTTAAAAAAAGATAAGTATGGGGAAAAGCACAAAATATTAATCATCTGTGTTTTTGAAATATGTTGTTTAGCAAGTCTGAAGGTATTTCTTTTTTTTTTTTTTCTTTTGAAGGTATTTCTTTAAGAAAGATTTTATTAAAAGAAATTTGTTCTAGGGTTTGTTCTGGCAACTTAGTTGACTTGCTCTCCAAAGAAGGAACTCTACTAATATTTTAATTGTGAATGGTGGGGAAAACTTAACTTGGGATGGATTTTCTCTGTCACTTAGTTTTATGGTGAGCTGTGATGAATGACACTATAACTTGTATTTCTTCTGATATGAAATAATTATTTGCCTCTTCAGCTTATTTATCTATTACAGTCTAGATATTCTTACTACTTAAACAAATACTTTTTATATATTACTTGTCATAGTTGGTGAAAATTCTTTTCCTAGTTTATTCATTTTAAATGTAGCTTGTTCATTTTGCTGTGTAGTGGTACAAGTGTCTTCATGGTATTTGTAAATTTGGAGATGTTCAAAGATTTTTGGATGTGTGACTGATGAGTGTGAAGGATCTACTCTATTAAATTTTCATGAAATTCATTCTATTTCTAGGTGGTAATCTGCTCTACTGATTTCTGGGCCAGCATGTCATTTTAATTATTTCTTTATAAATTTTTGATATTTTATTTTAGCATAATGGTACCACCCATCCACCTTTGTAGAATAGTTCTTAATGCTGTCATTGATCCCTCCCTTCACCCCTATGAGCTTTAAAATTATTTTTGTGAAGTACTAAAATGAGTATCTTGAGGGAATTTTGATTGAGAATGTGTACATATTTGTAAATTAGTTTGGGAAATTAATTCTTTTACAATATTTATTTTCCCCATTTTGGAAGCTGGAATATCTCCTACTAATCTATTTTAAAAATTAAAGCATCACACCAAAGGTTTGAATGCCAAATAGTAAGTAATATTCTGATGTGGCCCATAGTTTTACTGTCTTGTTCACACATAGCTTTGTATTTTGTATTATTATATTACAAAATCTCAACTTTTCAAAGTGCAGAAGTATTCAGCAGTTTGGAAAGGAGTGACTGTGTATCATGAGTCACCTGTATGCATTTCTAGATACTCTGCTGAAACTAGGAAGTGTCTGTTTCTTGCCAGTGATGTGTGATATAGATGACCTTTTTTGATGTGATATTGAAAACACATCTATTCAGCTAAAAGGTGGAAAATACATAATACTGAATGTGACATGTGTGAACTTTTCCAAAACATGAATGAAAGGCTTAAGATTTTCTGGTGTGGCGTTCACTAGGATGGGTTTTTACTTCCTTTCTTGAGCAGTTTTTTTGTTGTCTCAATGTTAACAGTTTCACAATAGTTTGACATAGCTAATCACAACAGTTATTAGCTGTGACTTGACTAAAATATATTTGTCAGTCATCCTTTTCAGGTACCGTTTCTTTTATCAAAGTAATAGTTTTCTTTCATCTTCTGACAGAGATCTATCAGATCTTTTGCCAATGATGATCGCCATGTTATGGTGAAACATTCGACAATTTATCCATCTCCGGAGGAACTTGAAGCTGTTCAGAATATGGTATCTACTGTTGAGTGTGCTCTTAAACATGTCTCAGATTGGCTGGATGAAACAAGTAAAGGCACAAAAGCAGAGGGTGAGACAGAAGTAAAGAAGGAAGAGGCCGTAGACACCTATTCCAAGTAAGTGTGACCTGACCTTTGTGTGACACTTTTCTTGTAGTGCCCAGATAAGTCCAGGGTCCCATCCAACTGGGTTACACTTGGTATATTGTATTCTTTGGGTTTTCTCGTTTATATGACTGTAAACAAGGAAGTAAATGTGGGATTTTTCTGAGTTAAATTTGAAGAGACAGTAGAAGAATAATGATTTGAACAGAGAAACGGGAGAGAGCTGTTCAGGATCCCTTTAAAAAGGGATACAAGCCTTTTAAAAAAACCTCTGTTTTAGAGATTGTGATATGTCATCTTTTTCATGTGTTGGTTTAGTTTTCTAAATTCAGAAATAAACACTATTTTTTTTTGGTCTCTGGGGAAGTCGTAAAATGTCATTTTTTCAGGTGTTTAAAAAGCCTGATGTAGAAGAAAGAGTGCAGGAGAATGTCTTCCAAAGGTATTTTTAACTGCATCTTCCTTGTTGACTCCCAGGATCCAGTGTAGTGTCTTACATGTAGTACATGCTCATTGGGTATTGAATGAATACTGGCCTAATGGGAGAAAGACCCTTCAGCTATTACAGCAGTGCTCCCAGTGCTGCAGCAAAAGTGAGATAACGCTGAGTGAGAACTAGGAAACTATTTATGCCTAGCTAAACTTAGAGTTACTGTTTTGAGCAATGTCACTATGATTGGAGTAAGAATATAGTTTACTTTGAAAGATGAAGCTCATTTGACTGCATTGTATTAGTAGGATTAAGAACATTTATTTTGACTAGTTATTAGTTATTAAAGTTGCTCAGTCGTGTAGGACTCTTTGTGACCTCATGGACTGTAGCCTACAGGCCTCCTCTGTCCATGGGATTTTCCAGGCAAGAGTACTGGAGTGGGTTGCCATTTCCTTCTTCAGGGGATCTTCCTGACTACAACTGGTAAATTGAGGATAGAAATTATAGAATTTTTCTCTCAGCCTTTCAATTCTAAATCAGTGTGATAAATAGATAAAGAATAGTGGGAAAGTATTGATAAATCGATTTCTTTAACTGAAAGATAGTGTAACCTTTCCATCTTCAGATGAAAGAAAATCAGTATCCGTTTTCAGCTGAAGATTATATTTTCTTGACTTTGTTAGCTTATTACAGGTAATATATACATTAGCATAGATTTGTCAGCTTGAAGTTTCTTGGCAGTAATTCACTTTTTCTTGCGTATGATGAGTTTAAAAAAGATACTGTCAAACTATACAGTTAATTGGTAATTAGTAGTATCATCCAATAATGAAGCTCTTTGTATCTCAGTCCCCGCGCAAGTTAAATAGTCATGAATTCCTTACTTATAGATTAACTGATTGGCCACACCACAGGGCTTGTGTAATCTTAGTTCTCAAACCAGCAATTGAACCTGGGCCATGGCAGTGAAAGTGCCCTGTCTTAACAGCTGGATCCCTAGGGAATTCCTGCATTGTGTGTTTAAGTTGCATGTCGGAATAATGTTTATACCATTTATTGTGGTAAAACTTCTATGATTTACTGTTTTTACTATTTCTAAGTATTTTTCAGCAAAGTCAGTCCTTTTAAATAACATCTCTTTGCTGTCAAGGCTGAACAAACTCTTGGAAAGTGCTCCAGTAGACACTTGCTGAACTGGATCAGGTCGCTGAGTTGTCAAGGTGTTTAAAACATAATGTACTGTGTGCTTTGTTTGAATTTTTAAGTAGTGTTGTATGGACTATGTAAAGTGTTTGCAGTTTGTGAAACATTCCTGGGTTGAGCCCTTGGGTGTGATTATTCCCGTGTGGTAGAGCTTAAGGTGTAGAATGATTGTGTCCCTATTTCATATAAAACAGAGGCAGGCATGGCTTCCAGACAGAGCTGTTGTGGTCATAGACATGAATTATGTTCCCGATGTGTGCTAAGCACTGCAGAGGGCCCAGAGACAGGGAGGGCTTGCTTGTATTTATTAAGCACCTTCTACTGCCAGGCACTGTTAGACAGCTTTTACCTGTATGCTTGTGTTTTATCTCCTTGCAAACTGACTCCAAGTTCCCACTATTTGTATTTGAGAAATATTAAATATTTAGCTTAATTTTAATTAATTCCCTGTATTGGGGTCACTTGCTTTATAATACCTCATATTCAAATTCATTATTAAAATTTAGAACTGAATTAGGACTTGGTTTCTCTGCTTAGTCTTGCTGTCTTCTACATGGTAAGACTAAGTATATCATAGTTATGGTATGGAATGTAATAAGCAAGCTAATAAGGGCTAGTTAATAACATCTACTATTTATTGAGTGCCAATTACTGTATCAGATTACTTTTCATATTATTTTACAACAAATCTGCTAGTCTCTATTACTGTTGCCTGCCCTCCACCCCCATTTTACTTAAATTTCCAGTACTACATATTTGGTTATGAAGAAAGAGTGACTCAGAATCAATAACAAATTTACCTTGCTTAAGGTCACTGAGTGTGTGGTGGAGTCAGGATTCACATTCAAGTCTGTCGGACTCGGATCCACTTTGCTTCGCATCTTCACTTTGATTATCCATGACCAAAATGTGAAAGTACAGAGCAGGGAAAGACTAGGTGCAGGATCTGGGGTCAGAAAAAACTTCACAGAGGATGCAGCACTTGTAGTGGCTCTCCAGAGAGTGCGTAGGGTTTTGTCAGGCAGTGAAAGTAGAAGAAAAAAATCTCAGCAAGGATCTAGGTGTGAAAAAGTATTGGGACTGTATAAGGAATAATAGCTATTTTTTATTGAGCTATTAATATATGCTATGCCCTGGGAAGTTCATTACTTATGCTAATTATTAATAAATAATATTCTCAGTACCACTCTGAGGAAGGTATTACTCTGTTGTTCTTTTTCTTTTTTTTTTAAACAAATGAAGAAATAGACTCAAAAGAATCAAGTAATTTGTAATTTGTCCAGTGTCATATAGTAAGTGGCAGATCCAGGATTCAAAACAAAAGTCATGCTGATTCCTAAATTGCTTCCCAATAAGCCCATGTCTAAGTGTTCAGTGGGACACCAGGAAAATAGCAGGCAGAGTTCCATCCTTGTTGTGCTTTTGGAAGACCATTCTGGTTGTAACATACTGTATACAGTAGATGAGATGCTAGGAGTTTAGTCAGGCCAGTGGAGAGGTGGTTATTGAGGTGGTTTAGGTGAGAAGGTAGTAAGAGCCTGAAAAGAAGCTAGTTTGAAGGCAGGGGTTTGAGAGTATGAATATACAGTGGAAGTGAGAAATAGATTTAAGGAACTAGATCTGATAGACAGAGAGCCTGATGAACTATGGACGGAGGTTCGTGACATTGTACAGGAGACAGGGATCAAGACCATCCCCATGGAAAAGAAACGCAAAAAGGCAAAATGGTTGTCTGAGGAGGCTTTATGAATAGCTGTGAAACGAAGAGAAGCTAAAAGCAAAGGAGAAAAGGAAAGATATTCCCATTTGAATGCAGAGTTCCAGAGAATAGCCAGGAGAGATAAGAAAGCCTTCCTCAGTGATCAATGCAAAAAAATAGAGGAAAAAAACAGAATGGGAAAGACTAGAGATCTCTTCAAGAAAATTAAGAGATACCAAGGGAACATTTTATGCAAAAATGGGCTCAATAAAGGACAGAAATGGTATGGACCTAGCAGAAGCAGAAGATATTAAGAAGAAGTGGCAAGAATACATAGAAGATTTGTACAAAAAAGATCTTCACGACCCAGATAATCACAATGGTGTGATCACTCACCTAGAGCCAGACATCCTGGAATGTGAAGTCAAGTGGACCTTAGAAAGCATCACTACAAACAAAGCTAGTGGAGGTGATCGAATTCCAGTTGAGCTAATTCCAACTTTGAAAGATGATGGTATGAAAGTGCTACACTCAATATGCCAGCAAGTTTGGAAAACTCAGCAGTGGCCACAGGACTGGAAAAGATCAGTTTTCATCACAATCCCTAAGAAAGGCAATGCCAAAGNTTGCAGCCATGAAATTAAAAGACGCTTACTCCTTGGAAGGAAAGTTATGACCCACCTAGATAGCATGTTAAAAAGCAGAGACATTACTTTGCCAACAAAGGTCCGTCTGGCCAAGGCTATGGTTTTTCCAGTGGTCATGTATGGATGTGAGAGTTGGACTGTGAAGAAAGCTGAGCGCCAAAGAATTGATGCTTTTGAACTGTGGTGTTGGAGAAGACTCTTGAGAGTCCCTCGGACTGCAAGGAGATCCAACCAGTCCATTCTAAAGGAGATAAGTCCTAGGTGTTCATTGGAAGGACTGATGCTGAAGCTGAAACTCCAATACTTTGGCCACCTGATGCGAAGAATTGACTCATTGGAAAGACCCTGATGCTGGGAGGGATTGGGGGCAGGAGGAGAAGGGGACGACAGAGAATGAGATGACTGGATGGCATCACCGACTCGATGGACATGAGTTTGAGTAAACTCTGGGAATTTGTGATGGACAAGGAGGCCTGGTGTGCTGCGATTCATGGGGTTGCAAAGAGTTGGACACGACTGAGAGACTGAACTGAGCTGAACTCAAGAGGGGAGAATTTATAAACTGTTACTAGGTTTGGGAGAAAAATGAAAGATCAGGAATACAGAGGGAAAAATAATCAAAGATGACAGACTATTCTTAATATCAAATAATGTCCTATATTTGGTTTACTTCAAAATGATTTTTATTTCTTTTTATACTTGTACCACCCTTATAGTTTTTCTTTGCTTAATGTTTATTGACTCTCAGGTATGTCAGGCACTGAGCCTTGGCTGAGTTATTTATGATTTTCTGTCTTGTTTCCATTGCCACTGTTCTGTTTCTCTTTTCTCCAGTTCATTTTCCAACTCTGCTAACTTGGACTCAACTCTGCTGATTCTTTCCCCTCAGCTAGAATGAAATGACTTTTTTTTTGTCTTTAACCAAATCATGACTCTGCTGAAGTCACTCTTGAAGTTTGCCTTGCTTATAATCTCTAATTTTGACCTTTCTCTTTTCTGAAATTATGATGCAGTCATAATAATGTAAAAAGCTTGAGTGTTGTGGTCAAATCAGCTTGAGTTTGAATCTTGTTGTTCACTTGTTCAGTCCTGTCCAACTCTGTACGACCCCATGGACTGCAGCACCATTTTACTCTCTGTGAAGTTGAACAATTAATCACCAGTTTTGAGATTCTCATTCCTTGTCTTTCAAATGCAGGCTCTTTGTTAGGTCTAAATGAAATTTGTGGCACGCAGTTTGTTCTCAGATATCACATTTGTCTTCCTTCTTAAGCAGGTTTTAAACAGCTTTTGTACTTAATCTGCAGTGTGAGCCTCTGAAGCAGGAGAATTTGGAGTATGTTCTCCATATTCAAACAGTTGCTTACATGTTTTTTTTTTTTAGTTGCTTACTTGTTGAATGACCATTAAGTTTAGTTATATTTTCATTTGTAATTGAGGGAAATGAACTAATAAACTTTAGGTATTAAAGTCAAGGATAGATATTAATGTTACTCTTATGCACCGTGCATGACTTGATATTCTTTGAATGTTCGTTCTTCTGGTTGCCACAGATCATCTTTGGGTTCCTCAGCTCTTCACTTTTATCACATTATTCTGTTTTCCCCATAAACTTTTATGGATTCCTAGAATGCTACAGCTACAAGGAGAGAGCTAAAGCTTATCCAGCCAATAGCCATTTTACAGTTACAGATACTGAGCCAGAAGGCACTGTTAAGAGCAGAGGTCAGGTCTTTTCATTTCCACTCTGAAGCTCTTTTTTAGTACGCCATGGTGTCATGTTTCTCACAATTCTTCAATTGCTAATTAAAAGATAAAGGGAGGAAGTTTGAATAATTGAAAAAATATTTAAGGGGATACAGTATTTTTGGATTTTCCTAAGCAATATTGATTTAATAAAGAATTGAAAGATATATCATTTGAAACAGTCTCCCTATTGGTTCTTTGTGTAAGATAGTTTATGAGCCTTAAATCTGAGACTTAATTTTGTGGAATTTTGGATTTCTGGATTTATGTTCTCCCTTATCAATTCATATGGATAGCCAGAAAGCCATGTGATGATTAAGTTATAGTTTCAGAAGTAGGCTGTGAAAGTAATCATTCAGACTTCTATTTTTAGGGATCAAGGTGGTCGGACATTGTGTGGTGTAATGAGGATTGGCCTGGTTGCAAAAGGCTTGCTGATTAAAGATGACATGGACTTGGAGCTGGTTTTGATGTGCAAAGACAAACCCACAGAGACCCTGTTAAATACAGTCAAAGATAATCTTCCTATTCAGATTCAGGTGAGTACAGTTTAATTGTGCTTCTAGGAGAATTTGTGAAAAGGTAAAAATAGGTAGTGATCTTCATTAATTTAATAAAAAGAAATTGATAACAGTAAAAGGTAGGTACAGATGGCTACTCTGGGTCTGTGCATCATCCATCACATCTAAGGCAAACTTCTGGTGATTAATATTCAAAGTATAGTCTTAAATTTTTCAGATGTATCTTGCTGAGAGTTTTCATGTTTTCCAGAATAGGCCTCTCAGCATTATAAAACTCTCCAGAAGGTTTGATATAGGGTGGAAAAGAACAAAAAGAGCCTGGGCAACTGGAAACTTTCAAAGATGCTAATTTTTTAAATTGAAGTCTCTGTTAATTTCATTTCATTCATTCATTCATTCTGTTAATAGAAATTCACTATTAATTCCTTGTTTTCAAGCAAGCCTTTTTCACATTGGGATGTATTTAGAGAATTTTACTGTTGTCTTGTGCCCTGGAGGATGCTGCTGGAGGCTGAGGGCTCCTCAGGGCTGAAGGCAACTGATTGGTCCAGGGCTGTGGTCACTTTAGGACCTGCTCTGCCAGTCTGCTCCAAGGGTCAGTTGAAAACTATGATCACCTTTCATTTTCAGATGTGTTACCTTTGGTATAATTAGACTGTATCTTTTAGATGATTTTATATCAGTTAGTCCTTCAATCCATGTTGCATAAATAGATATCAGTACACAAGGTTGAACTGTGAGTTGTTGAATGCTCTCTTTTTTTGTAGTTGGTTTTATTTGTATTTCTTCTGTGGAGACCTTTTTCCCCCCAAAGTAACATGAATTCTAAATTTGTCTTTATTAGCTTTGTTACTGGATCATTTTCTTTCATATTCACCAACTGATTTTCAGAAGCGTCTTCCTGACTTTAATCTGCCATTCCTGGCACTCAAATTTGTGTCACTTGTTGACACATTCTCCTTTATTAATTTCTGGAGCACTTAAAAAAAAAATCATTTTTAGATCTTAACGCTTTCTAAGTGACCAAACAAATATATTTGATTTTTCCATTTTCAGTTCTGATTGAAGGAAAGTTTCTGTTCTTTCAAGGGTTAAATTCATTTCTTTTAAAGAAAGATTTAAAAGATTAAAGACTTTTTAAATCGTTATGTGATTATTTGAGAAGGGAGAGTGGTAAGCAACATGGTGTTCAGTAAAGAAAGTTCAGTAACGAGTTTCTGACTATACTTTTTGTTACTAGAATGTTAATGTTGTAAAATCCTTCTTTTTCCCATTTTTTTTTATTGTTTTAGAGTTTAATCTTTACTTCTGCTTTTCTTATAGTGAATATTGTTGTTCTTAAATCCGTACTAGAGTAATAAGCAAAGGGTTGGACATATGGAGGCTTTCCCAACCATATCACCCCCTTTTCTGTTTTCTTTAGTGAGTTCTGTTTTATATGAGTGGTCATAGTTTCAGATGTGTCAGGGTGGAAAAAGGGTTGAGAATCAGTGCTATAAGAAATTGAAGATCTGTTGTATTTCTCAGTATTGAAGATACAGGACATTGGAGCTTCAGTTGTATTAATAGAGCTTTCTCTGTAGTTCACAACTGTGTGAACTCTGTATTTTCTATTTCTGGGCACCACAGTTTTAAACTTTTTATCAGGCTAACAAGTGTTTGAGGGAAGGGCCTGGGAGAGAATGCAGACTGGTAAACTGTTTCAAATTTGAAGAGACTAGGGCTTTTTAACCTAGAGAAGCTGAAAAAAGATACAGGCATCTTCAGATCTTTGAAGAGCTTCTTGGGGAAGGCAAAAGTGGCCTGAACTCTTAAGACCAGTGGTGGACATTTTAAGAAACATATCTGAATTTAACATAGCTAATAGAGTTATCCAGCAGTGAAACCAGCTGCTTTGTGTGATGGTTGGATCCATGACCGTAGCTGTTTGGGTAGAGGTACCCAGATAAATGGGGATGTAATTGTACACCCACTTTATATTAATTTGTGTACATGTACACATATTTGCTGTGCCTTCATATGTACACACAAGCATGGACATCTTATTATTAATACAAAAATGTTTCAGAAAATCATTTTAAATGGGATTTTTGCATTTATTCCCTGCCTACCCCTTTTTTCTTGGTGTTCGTTTGGAAAACCAATCTCTGATACTATATGAACTTATTTCCTTGTGAGTTAAAAACCTTTTCCCTGAGCACTTACCATAGCAAAATTTTGAGTTATCAGGGTACCTTAATTAATTGGGATTGTATCAGACCTTTTCTCTGTGTACTCTTTTCTAGGGTCATTTTAGAACTTCCTTGAGCAGAGGAAGGAGAAGGACGACCAAAACCAGAGTCAGTTAGAATTAGTGTAGCCCAACACTCATATCATATTTCATTACTTTGAATGTGTCTCACAGAGTGATCTGCATGTACGGTTGAAAAATTGACTTTGCTTTTTCTCTGAGACATCTTTACTGCTCTTATGCAAAGTGGATGTGAGCAGTTTTCTGCTTTTTTTCTATACTCTGATTCTGGTTTTTCCAGCTGCTATGTGGCCTTTCCCTTTCTTGGTTTCCTCTGTTCAAAATTAGGGTAATGAGTTTCCAGTTTTCTATCTTTTTGGGGATGTTTAATGGTAAAATCTATTCTTATATAAATGACTTTGAGTTCCTTTAATGCACAGTTGTTGAGTAGAGAGACCCAGTAGTGTTTCTGTTCAACTATTTATGTTAGGTAATACATTAAATTTTACCACCAGGAAAGGCCCTGTGTAACTTACTAAACTATATATTTAATGTATTGTTATACATTAAATGTATACTTAAAAGCAATCCTAGTTGGTGATACTTTTTGTATAATTGTTTGTTAAAAGAAGCAGTGAACATTTCCATGTGGATGTCAGATGACTTGTCCCAGAGAAGGTCTCACTGCAATGATCTCTGACACCTCTTGTTAGAGAAGGGAAGTTAGTTACTTGTTTATATTAACCTTTTTACTGATGATTGATTGTGCAGAGATCCTTTTTCATTCATTCTTACTTGATTTTCTTTAAAAATCTACATAATCAAGATTATGTAATCTTATATTTATAAATCTTTACTAGCAAGTAGGAATTCCTGTTTAGGTTGTCCTATCAAAAATGAAGATTTTTCTTCTTTAAAAAAAAAAAAAAAGGTGTTGGTTTAGAGAGCATTCCCAGCAACTTATGCTGTATAAGTCCTTTGTAATAATTTCAAGAACAATAATTTACCTTTTGCTGTATCATGATACTTTTGGTAACTTTCACTTTCAAATATTAGAATGGTTTTAAATATTCTTTAATAATTGAATAGATGATTGACCTTGTGGTTGCTTTTTGAGGGATGGAGAAGGGATTCGCCAGTAAGTTGGGAGAGAGAAATGTGACTTCCACCCTAAAGAACTAGTTAAAGATTAGTTCCTCTTTCAGAACAGTAAAAACTAATCGTTAATAACTTTTGAAAATTAAGACTAAGGGGGAAATCATTCATTTTTTGAAATTTTAATTAATTGGCTGTTTTTGAAATCTTGGTGACTTTCAGAAGCTCACAGAAGAGAAATATCAAGTGGAGCAATGTGTAGATGAGGCATCTATTATAATTCGGAATACAAAAGAACCCACGCTAACTTTGAAGGTGATACTTACTTCCCCTCTAATTAGAGACGAATTGGAGAAGAAGGATGGAGGTACACATGTATATATATATATATATATATGTATATGTATATATAGAGAGACATAGATGTGTATATATAAATATATATTTGTTTTGTTCACATAAGACCTCTCTTAAATGCTGCATACTAATTATGTTCAATGGATTTAAGAAGTAATCTGTCTTTTGTTTTATGCCACTCATAGTATTTTAAGCAGATTTATTCCTACATAATCTCTGTATTTTGCAAAAATATTTATATTCAAAACATAAAATATGTTAATTCAAAGAAACCTATGCTTATGTTGGTTTTAAATCCACTTTAATTTTAATACTGCTTTGGTGTTCTGTTTTCCTTTGTCTAGTTTTACATTGCTTTTGGTATCAGCTAACCTATTCTGGGTAGCTTAGTTATTAGGTCTGATTTTAGGGTTAAATGTGGTTCAAAACAGTGCTGTTTTCAAAAACTCCATAATTTTTTAAGAGTTACGCTTTATCTAATTGCCTAAGTGTTTTGTAATGCAAGAGAGATAAATTGGGGAGCTTTTTCTTTTTTTTTAGAATAATCTTTAGTAAAAATTCTTTTCTAGGAGGTGTGTGATCCTCTTAACATTTAGGATTTTATATATGTGGGAATTTTATTTTAATCTGACTTTTTTCTGAAGTTAAAAAGAATTTCTGCATAGCAATGCCATCAAATAAAAGTGGAGTGAGAAATCTATTCTGTTTTAAGAAGTACTATTGGAGCTGAATTTCTTTTTTGATATTTTTATCCTTTCACATCAGCTTGTTTCTGCCTTTTAGTCCTGTGTCTGGAAACTTGCCGTGTGCTATTTCTCCTGTGTTAGACCTTTGACCAACTGGCCTCTCTCTGTTATGACAATTTAGAGGCATTGTGGCCTAACTGGGTCAATGAGGACTCCCTGTTGCTGTTTTTCATCACTAGATGTTCAGCAAGTTCCATTGCTTACTCCCCTACCTGAAATACCATTGCAGCAAGAAGTATTGGTCAGTTTCTTAATTTATTTCAAGTTGATGATAAAAGAAGAAAAAGACACATTTTTACCAGAGATGTTAGAATTTCAAGTTTTGCAGACATGACTCATAGGATTTCTTAAAGTAAAAGTGATAGACTTCCTTTTTAAAGAAATCTTTGGGGTACTAAAATCAGCTCTACCATACCCAACAGATATAAACTAGGTACATTTATGAATCATAGTTTAAAATTAAAGTACATCCACTCTGTAATTGGGTTTATCCCTGTACTTTTTCTTTGGGGCTGTATATAGTATCTCTAATACCTCTGAAGAACCAATCTTAAATGGCTTAATTTCTTTTAACAGTTTTACAGTTCATCATTAACTGTAGAACTATAAAATGATTTCTGAAGTATCAAGATAATTCTGTTAATTCGGGTAAGCTGTGTTCTACTTGACCCTCAAATGTAAAACTAACCTTTTCTAAGTATAGTTATAGATATTATTAAAAATTCTTTGAGTATAGAGAGATAAGAAGATGACTGAAGTTGCCAGAGGCTAGATTTGTCTAGATTTGAAGTTGCCAGAGACTAAATAATGTTTGTTTGCAGCTGGAGACATCTCTCCTGTTACTTTGAAAGTATTGAGAACAACAGGCTTCTTTCCCTCCATGGTTTTGTGCACTTACATGGGATTTTAAGGTTTCAGTGATAACTCTAAGCTTAGTCTGTTGCCTTTATAACTAGGTCAGAGGACCTGGAAACAGATCTTAGTATGTCATACCCTTACTAGAAGACTAGTTATTGCAGAATGGAATTTGCAGTAGAGTAGGAGAGTCATCTAGAGTCAGACATTCTGGAATGTGAAGTCAAGTGGGCCTTAGAAAGCATCACTATGAACAAAGCTAGTGGATGTGATGGAATTCCAGTTGAGCTATTTCGGATCCTGAAAGATGATGCTGTGAAAGTGCTGTACTCAATATGACAGCAAATTTGGAAAACTCAGCAGTGGCCACAGGACTGGAAAAGGTCCATTTTCATTCCAATCCCAAAGAAAGGCAATGCCAAAGAATGCTCAAACTGCCGCACAATTGCACTCATCTCACACGCTAGTAAAGTAATGCTCAAAATTCTCCAAGCCAGGCTTCAGCAATACGTGAACCGTGAACTTCCAGATGTTCAAGCTGGTTTTAGAAAAGGCAGAGGAACCAGAGATCAAATTGCCAACATCTGCTGGATCATCGAAAAAGCAAGAGAGTTCCAGAAAAACATCTATTTCTGCTTTATTGACTATGCCAAAGCCTTTGACTGTGTGGATCACAATAAACTGTGGAAAATTCTGAAAGAGATGGGAATACCAGACCACCTGACCTGCCTCTTGAGAAACCTGTATGCAGGTCAGGAAGCAACAGTTAGAACTGGACATGGAACAACAGACTGGTTCCAAATAGGAAAAGGAGTACGTCAAGGCTGTATATTGTCACCCTGCTTATTTAACTTATATGCAGAGTACATCATGAGAAACGCTGGGCTGGAAGAAGCACAAGCTGGAATCAAGATTGCCGGGAGAAATATCAATAACCTCAGATATGCAGATGACACCACCCTTATGGCAGAAAGTGAAGAAGAACTAAAGAGCCTCTTGATGAAAGTGAAAGAGGAGAGTGAAAAAGTTGGCTTAAAGCTCAACATTCAGAAAACTAAGATCATGGCATCTGGTCCCATCACTTCATGGGAAATAGATGGGGAAACAGTGGAAACAGTGGCAGACTTTATTTTTTTGGGCTCCAAAATCACTGTAGATGGTGACTGCAGTCAGGAAATTAAAAGACGCTTACTCCTTGGAAGAAAAGTTATGACCCACCTAGATAGCATGTTAAAAAGCAGAGACATTACTTTGCCGACAAAGGTCTGTCTGGTCAAGGCTATGGTTTTTCCATTGGTCATGTATGGATGTGAGAGTTGGACTCTGAAGAAAACTGAGCGCCAAAGAATTGATGCTTTTGAACTGTGGTGTTGGAGAAGACTCTTGAGAGTCCCTTGGGCTGCAAGGAGATCCAACCAGTCCATCCTGAAGGAGATAAGTCCTAGGTGTTCATTGGAAGGACTGATGCTGAAGCTGAAACTCTGATACTTTGGCCACCTTATGTGAAGAGTTGACTCAATGGAAAAGACCCTGATGCTAGGAAGGATTGGGGGCAGGAGGAGAAGGGGACGACAGAGGATGAGATGACTGGATGGCATCACCGACTCGATGGACATGAGTTTGAGTAAACTGTGGGAGTTGGTGATAGACAGGGAGGCCTGGTGTGCTGTGATTCATGGGGTCGCAGAGTTGGACCCGACTGAGCAACTGAACTGAACCGAGGAGAGTCATAGTCTGTTCAAGGTGTTCGGGTTATTAAAGGATTCCACGACCTCTTTATAAGCTCAGTCTCATCAGCTGACGTTAACATAATTGCGTGGGATCAGATAAGATGGAAGAATCAAATTGAATCTAATACTTTACACATGTTACTTCCTCTCGTTTTGAATGGCAGCAAGATTTGCTTTGCTGTTTTCCTTAACCTCACAGCCCTGCCAACTCACCTGTTCTCTCTCATAATTTGCTCGTTTTGTCTAACTTGGACTTTGTCGAAGTTTTTAGATCTGTGCTAGCAGTTTTGTGTGTTATTGGGTAACTTTGAGGATCCAGTGTAAACTGGGCTGTACAGTTCTATAGGATTTCTTTCATCATACCAGGTTACTACTCTTTGCTTGACTCAGTTCTTTTCAGCTGCATGGGGTGAAAGTACAGATCCATTTACGTTCCAGGAATTTCTAAGTTTGAGAGAAATCTCTTTTAAAAAAACATGCACTCATTTTCTTTCTCAAAGTTTAAAAAAATACGCATCATAAATAATTTTTTGGGAGAGATTTTCCTGCAGAATCTCAACTTCTCTTCTCCCACAGAACAAACAGGCTGTTCACAGTATATACCTCATGTGTTTCTCTTCCCTTGTGACATATTTGGGTGAAATAAAAAAAGGGGGAAATGTCTGAGAGCAGGCAGAACTGGAGGACTGAATCTGGTGAGAGCACACACTTTTCTTCTCAGTGTTGTCTCTGCAGAAGTGGCTAGCTAATTACTCATTTCACATTGCTGTTTAGATTTTCAGTGGCCAGACTATAGTGAATTTCTTTGGTATTGTTTACTGTTTCACAGCTAAGAGTCCTCCTATGCTGTCAGCCTTCTTTCTATATTTTAACTCTTTACTTGAGGGCTCTGTAGAATAACCGTTCCCCATATCTATATGGGGCTTCCCAGGTGGCGCTAATGGTAAAGAATCCTCCTGCCAATGCAGAAGACACAATAAGAGACATGGGTTCGATCCCTGGGTCGGGAAGATCCTCTGGAGAGGGCATGGCAGCCTACTTCAGTATTCTTGCCTGGAGAATCCCATGGACAGAGGACTTTGGCAGGATACAGTCCATGGGGTCCCAAAGAATCAGACAGACTGAAGCAACCTAATATGCACACATACATGCATTACTACATGCTTCCTGCTAAAGAAGGCATTGGGGAAAAGAACATAGACCTTGGTAGCAGCCAAGTGTTTGACCTTTAACTCCATTAACTATTACTGTGTGCCTTGGACATATTTCTTCACTTCAAAATGTGGGTAATGAATACTTCAGAAAGTTGTTTGAGAGAATTTATATAATAATATGACCCGTACAATACCCAGCACAAACAGTGATTGGTAAACAGTGGTAGTTACTTAGTTTAGTAAACAAAAAGTCACAGCACAAACTCATCTACTCAAAGTGCCTTGAATTTACAATGAGAATAATGTGTAATAATACGTTTGAAGTAGTAAACATAAACAGTTAAACTGTTAAATACCCATTGATGTGTAGTATTGGAATCAGTATACTATATTTGCTGCAGTTGTAGTAATGAGCTGACTTACTAGTAGTATAAAGTTTATGATTCATTGAGACAGATGTCTTTTTCCCTACCAGTGTCCTTTATCCCTAGCACCTTGAGTGGTACCTAATACTTAGTAGGCAATTAAAGCAAAACCTGTTAAGTTAATTTTTGTAGCTAGCATATTATCTGATCAAATAGAACTGTTTGGTGTATAAGAAGCATTAACAATGGGCATCTCAGAATTCAAGTAATATATATTGAAGATTTTACTTTGCTAAGGTATTTTATAACTTACTATGTTATAAGCACTTTCTCATATATGATTTAACTCTCAACAGCCATGAGGTAGATAGTTGTCCTGTTTTATAAATGAAGAAAGTCTGATGTTTCACCCATCTCTTCTTACTCTCAAGTCCAGTTACTATCTAGGATGATCATAGGAGAATCTTAGCTGACTTAGTTTTCCTGAGCGTCATGTGGTCTAAGCTGCTTTTGATGCTTGTGATTTTAAACCAGAAGTATATTTGCTATGAGGGTGATAAATCCAGCTGCTTACTGTATTTACTATACTTTGAAACCAAGTGGATAGGGAAACTACAAAGGCACTTGTGATAACTTAGGCTGAGATAAACTGCAGTGTTCAGTATTAGGGGAGATTCTCAGGGTGTCACAAAAAAGTTGCCCAAGCGCCCTTTAGTTGCCAGTGTGAACTTCCAATGCGGTTTGTCAGAAGTTCAGTAGCGTGACTCCTGTTAGGTGGAAGACCAGTCCAAAGGTCACAACTAGGATTTTTTAACAATGCTGCAGTCTTTATTCTCCTGCCTTCCCCAGCTGCTTGACCTGCATTGTCCTGTGTAAACCTGTAGTCACTGTCTTTCCAGTGGTCCACTGCCTACTGAGGCATTGCAGCAAAGTTGTATCTAGTGATGTTTCTGTCATAAACTAGGATAACAGTGCTCTGTTTTACCTTCATGCTACATTTACCTGTTCATATTATTGTAGCCTGAGGTTTCTCATGGATAGTGACTTGAAGCATAATGTCTGCTCTCCACACAGCCTCAAGGAATTGAGAGAAGGACTGCCCGGATATCTTCAGGCTACCTTGGAAATTCTGTCAATATGGACTCAGTAGCTCAGCTTCATTCCAACTTTGGAATGTCAGGGAGGTCTTCATGATAACCCAGCTTGATTATTTTACCTTTGACGAACCCAGGTTCCAGACACATAAATTCTATTTAACACAGTCATGTTCTGGCTTTTCCCTGCCCCATCTACAGGCTAGTGTTTTTGTGAACAGGCACAGAGTTAGCTTGCATGTAAGGGATGGAGAGAAACTGACCAACATTTCCTGCAGGATGGTGTGTTTCTGGTCACAGATCTAACCCCTAACCAAATAAAAGTTAGGCATAATAGACTTCTTTTCAGTGCTTCCATTGTTTAGAATGTTTTATGTACCTTCATGCTCTGATGCCAGGTTATTGAGCGATGAGTTTTTTAAAAGCTGTTTTTCTTTGCTTTTGGCATTTTTGTTACTATCCCCTATGCTGTTTTTTTTTTTTTTTTTTAAATCTGTTTTACTGGTCACTATAGGAAAAAAATAAAATGGTTCATAGTTCCATTGTTTCTGATTTAAAGACACCAAGATGCCTTTTTGTTAGAAAAGCTTTGTTTTTCCACAAAACTGAAACACCTATGTTAAAGTTTATACAGAAATGTTAAATTCGAGGTTCTACTTTGAGAAGTGCAGTGTTTTTCCAGCAGCAATTCTGTGATTACCACATTTTTTAATGAATGAAATTTAAAAAACTTATTAATTATGTAAAAGAAATAGGCAAGCAAGGCTTACAAGTAGCACTACAGTGCCACATAAATTTATATAGTTTTAAAATAAGAAACTTTGAAGAAGGTAAAATGAGATGAATTATTACATCCCCTCTGCTGTTCTCACCTCATGAATATTGAAACATTTTGGATCTTTTGACTTTTTTTGAGTATCAGAGCATGAAGAAACTTGGCCATTCTGATGGTGATGTTAAAGGGAATTCAGTCAAGTCTTCTGTTCATTGCCTGTCCCTTTCATCTCTTTTTAGTAGAATCTACTGCCTCCAAATGTTGACTGTCTGTAGCAAGCTGATGTCACTAGTTTCTTAAAATAAGAATTAATGAATATAATTTGACTTTTGGGAATAAGAGAATTTATCTAAATACTTTTGCCATTGTTCCCCTGTAGAACTGTCTGTGTGGTGATGAGCAGATGTTAATTACAAGCTCTGTTCACTGGACAGTAGTTATCAGAAAGTTCAAACCGAGTTCTTTTGCCTTGTCTTTTCCTACCCAAACTTCCTCTGACCCCTCCCCTCTTCCAGTGATCTTGCCCCCTGCCGCCCTCTGGCCCTCTCACCTTTCCTGATACTCCTACTTGATCCAATGACAGAATGAAACATAGTTTGCTTTACTCTTAAAGTCCAAAAAAATAAACATGGTCTATTCCTTTTCTTGAGATTACCTTATTTAGCAGTCAGTCAACCTTTGTCATGTCTAACTTTTAAGAGATTCTAACTGTTCATTTATAGTAGTTCTGCCTTGTATGTGAGCTTCACACAGATGCTTGTATTGACCACAGTTAAACATTTTGACATGTAAACACGAAAATGAATTACTTGTATGTTTGTCATTAAAAAGAATTATGCAAAGATAGGAACTACGTCACCTATGAAGTAAATACCTGTAGTGTGTTTGCTTATGTTTATAAATAAAAGCACATAATCATTTCTTTTTGAGGCTTTCCATTTTATGAGGAGAAAGGGGTAATGAAATGAGACCCTGTATTGTGAATTTGTTGGCAGATATTAATGTGAAACAATGCAAGTATCTGCTGTAGAGCTCACCTGGTCAGAAAATAAGTGTGTAGCACTTCAGCCTTGACGTGTTGAAGCCAGTACAGAAAGCCCACATAAACATACTGCCGAGACTGTGACTGACTGATTATACCAGGAAGTGTTGGTGGGCTCTCTGAGTTCTTAAAAAAGGAAGGTAAATATGACTTAATTGGGTTAGACAAAGGCTTCTCCAAGAAACATTTGTATGTTATATGTATTTAAATTAATGCACCGATTCTTCAAACGTTTAAAAACCCACTTCTCAGTGGCTAAGAGGAAATAAATTTGGCTATCTAAACATGGACTTAGTATCTTGTGACATCTTCTCAAATATGACTATTTGTCACTAATCACCTGTTTGAGTTCTTAATTTTGTTGCTCTTGGCCATCCAATCCAACTCTGAAATGTTAAGGCAAGTCAGATAGTTGTACTTCAATAGTATTCTTTGCTTCTTTTTGGGAAAAAAAGGTATGCAAAACTTGAAATGTATTTCAACATATTTCATATTTCAGTTTTAATAATTTTGGTTTAGAGAAGAAATAGAGAACTCCATGGATACACTGGAAGAGTTCTCAGCAGTGGGGTAAAGTTTCTATTAATGGTTATCTTGTTGGATAAGTTAATTTTGTTGTAAAATAAAATTGCCATGCTCAGTGTATTGTTAGTATACAAATTGGTGACCTAAACCCTAATTTTCCTTAAGAACTGATTAGTGATTAAAATCCCTTCTTCTATAAAGTTGTTAATGCTGTTGGTCCCAGGTTTCCACTCTTTGCACCCTGTCAAAGGAAAAGTGCTATGTACCTATTTTGTGCCCTGTGATGTTACATACATGCTTAATAAGATCCCAGATTGTGTGTGGCAGTGATCATTGATCTGTTTACTGACTGAGTGAATGCGTTTGTGCTCCTGTTGTACTTGTGCGCAGAATGGCTCTATTGATGATTTACCTAAGTAATGATAGTGCACATAATTTAAAAAGAAAGCAACAAAGCCAAAACCTGAAATCTTCTGGGAGTCTTATTAGTTCACTCATATGCTGCTCTCCTTTTTTTTTATTGTTTGGTAATTTGACAGGAATCCCTTGGTCAAATTGTATCTGTCTCTCTTTATCCCATTTTCCCATTAGAAAAGGTTGCGATGAAAGATCCTCCGGACTTATTGGACAGGCAGAAATGCCTGAACGCCTTGGCGTCTCTTCGACATGCCAAATGGTTTCAGGTTGGCTTTTTGTTATTCTCTTATTGTTACTGTAACCTTTTGCAGGTTTCATTTGGAACACCTGCCACTTAATGGTTTCTCTGTAATATATAAAATGGGGTGCACTCTACCTCTTACGGTTATTATAGGACTAAATGATTTAATTTAGGTGAAGTGTCTACTATAGCTTCTACTGTAGTTAATGATGTTTAATTGTCATGTAATCCTTTTGGACTTAGTACTCTGAATTTCCCATCCAAGTACTAACCAGGCCCGACCCTGCTTAGCTTCCGAGATCAGACGAGATCGGGCGCGTTCAGGGTGGTATGGCCGTAGACAGTACTCTGAATTTCAAATGATAGCTTATAAAATGCAAACATGGGTGAGAAAAGCTAAAAACTCGACAGTTGCCTGGAAATGGAGTTGCCATGAGGCTATAAAGCCAATTCTAATAATATACTTTCTTTAAACTCTTCCTTTCTAAACCATAATTTTACTACTTTTAAAAACTTGATTTTTTGGTTTGCTTGACAACTTATGAATGATTGACCAATTAGTATTCAGTTTAAAGAACCTGTCCATGATCAGTGTCCTTAAAATGAAGAATGGATTTCAACAGGGATATTGGAATCATTTTGTTTGTTTTAGGCAAGGGCAAATGGATTAAAGTCATGTGTAATTGTCCTCCGCATTCTCCGTGATTTGTGCAACAGAGTCCCCACATGGGCACCATTAAAAGGATGGGTAAGTACTTAACTATGATTAAAAGCATATTCTGAAACTATAGTCAGAGGAAATTCTGTAGAAATTATATGTTACTGTATTCTGAGTTAGCTAAGGTGTGCATTTATCTATTTTTGTTCTGGGAAAAAAATTATAGAGTTTTTTTTTATATTATTTCTTTTTTATGAATTTAATTTGTACTATACATACATTTACATTTACAAATTTACATTAATTTGTAAAATATGTAAATTTAATAAGTAATTTAATACCTTCTAGCCACTAGAGCTTATATATGAAAATGTCTCTGTTACTTCATCATATTCATATTATAGAGACATATTTTTTCTGACAAAAGGTTCTTGAGCTGTTAAAAGTGAGTGTCTTCCTGCACTTTTACTCTCCACTGATGGTTGATTATTATTCACCTACTGCCTGGAAAAGCATGCTTGACTGTCACATTTCTCTTTCGGTGCTATTTCCATCTAAAGTAAAAATTACCTGGTATACGAGTATAAGGTTCCCATACCTTCTTTTCCTTTCTCTTTTGAGTATAGACATTTGAAAATAAGTTCATACTAGTAATTAAAGAAAAAAAGTTAGGTGAATAGTATAGTTAACCATAGTTTAAAATGTTATGTTGTGAAACTTAATTAATTTGGAAATTATTGTGCATGATCCAATAAAGAACATTATAAAACAAGTAAAGCTATAAAGGGTTATTTTAGATTAATTTAGCAATTATTACTTTGATATTGGCATTATGAACCTTTTAGTTTATTAAATATGGAGATTTGGTCCTTTTTTAATTCCAGTTGTACTAGTTGGGGCAGGATGTCTGGAATGAAGTCTTATTGTGGTTTGAGTCCGTCCTAGTAAAATGGGAGATAGGTGGGCTGGGTTTGAACATTGATTTTTTATTGGCCATTACTAACCTACATAAAGGCTTGTTAAATCTTTGTTAAGTTAGATGACTGCAGTTTCTTTAGTAATCCTTTCAGGGTAACTGAAAATAAAGTTTTTGTAGCAAAAAGTCTTCTGAATATGTACTCTCAAAAATGGTTGATTTAAGCACTCTGGCTGGGGTAAAACTTGATAATCAAGTGGGAAAAGTTAATTGGGCCCTAAATGTTAAATGGACTTTAACCTTTTTGGACTCCATTGTAGATAGAAATGTCAGCTCACATTTAACTGGAAACCTTTTAACACTTGGTGCATGTACTAATTTGTAATTTAATATCTTCTAGCCACTAGAGCTTATATGTGAAAAGTCTATAGGTACTTGTAATAGACCTTTGGGCGCTGGGGAGGCCTTGAGACGAGTAATGGAGTGTTTGGCATCTGGAATTCTACTTCCTGGTAAGGGTTTCAAACTCTGGAGGCAGAAGAATCAGAACAATTTCATTTAAATTTAGTTTTCTATTTATGTGCTAAGTTTGTACTCTACACAGGAAAATGATGTGCAGGAGTTGTTTTGCTTTGAATTTTAGCAACTAGAAGTGTCATAAAACTCTTTCAATAATTGTAATTTATGTTTTATATGTACTAACATAAAAGGTACTAATAAGATACTGTGTCTGCTATGAAGTTGCTTTACCCAGAACTCTGAATTTGAAAATGGTTATGTTAAGTTAAAATGTATGACGTTCATTCTGTTTGCAGTCTGGTGTTTAATTTGGAAAAATTAAATTTGGTCTTTTTTTCCATTATAATCCCTTAAAAGATTTGGGGTGATTTATCATGCTGTTTCTAAATTCTCAGAGTTAAGACCCAATTTTGACCTTAGATATACAAATGACTTCTAGTAAAATAAGGACATTTAAATGCTGACATATTGAAAATAAGTGTCCATTTTGCTCCATTTAATTTAGCAGACTTTTAACCTTGTTCTTTTAGGTTTTTTTTTTCTTTTCTTTTTCCTCTCCATCCTTTTCTTTCTCTCTATTTTGTGTTAGTTTATTGATTTCTAAGTTCAATTCTGAATGGTACTTGTGGTTTTTTTTTGCCTTTGCCAAAGGGGGTCCTGGTCTTCATGATCCTTGTGAGCGAGATCCAACAGATGCTCTGAGCTATATGACCATCCAGCAAAAAGAAGATATTACCCACAGTGCACAGGTATGAGATGGGCCCTATGACTGTGGTCGCTTAGAAGGGATATCATGTAATTTATTTAAAAACTTTTTTTCTTGCCTTCTGTTGGGGACTTTTGTCATCATAATAATAGCATTTGATGAATGTGTTTTTAGCTAGATGTTCTAAGGGCTTTATGGATGAAAAGTTTGAATAAATATAATCTTTTTTTCTTTAGCATGCACTCAGACTATCAGCCTTTGGTCAGATTTACAAAGTACTGGAGATGGACCCCCTTCCATCTAGTAAGCCTTTTCAGAAATATTCCTGGTCAGTTACTGATAAAGAAGGTGAGTATAAATACTTTGTATTGGGGTTGCATGTGGGCAGTGATGGAGATGGGCGTGAAATGTTTCTCTTATTAGAGCTGAGAGCACTTGAAGTTTTTAACCGAAGTCACATATAAGAGTGTTTATTGCTTTTCTTCCTGATTTTCTTCTGTCCCATCAGTGACATCAACTTGCTTTCATTTGTTCTTTCTAGTGACAAACTCATTTGGCTATTGTTAATCAGATTCCATTACTGCATAGACTTAGGGACGGCACTCTGAGAACCCTTGGTCTGACGTGAAGAGAAAAGTCACAAGCTAGGGGGAGATGGCATGGTCACTCATCAGTTTGATGATCTTGTCATGCTTGGAAGTGTTATATAACCAAGAAAGAGAAAACATAAGCATAATAGAGGAGAAAAATATATTGGAAAATTCAGAACTGTCTTGCATTTGTTCTAGTCTGTGTGAACTCAGATTAGAGTTTCAGCAGAAAGAGCACAGGCTTTAGGGTCAATATGACCTGGTTCCCCTCACAGCGCCCCTGCTCACTAGCTTTAGGCCTTGAGCAGTTAGTTCATCTCTTGTCTTGTGGGTATTACTCCCACTTTATTGGCTATTGTCAGATTATATGCCCAGCTCAGTGCTTGGAAACAGTAGATATTCAAATGTGAATCTTCTTATTCTCATTATGCCACAAAAAACCTCCCTCCCTCTTTTCCTCCCTCTGTCTCCTATTATACTAGAAGGTGGGATGTTTTATACCAGTTATTTTCACCTGTGGCATCCCACCTACCACGAATGATACTATTAATTTTTTTTATGACAAAAACAGTGCAGTGGCCCAGTCTCTTTATTCAAAGAACACAATTCCAGTGTGTCTGAACACTTTTCAGGGAGTCTACCAAATCAAAATTATTTCATAATAATACTAAAGCTTTTTTTTTCCACCCATTTCTGCTCTTTCATGAGTTTACAGTTTTCTGGAAGCTGCGTATTACTTGTGATGGCATCGTCACTCTGATGCTAGTGAATTTTTTGTATAAAATTTTTGTTTTTTTCTAATATGCTAACTATTGATTGATACTACCCACAAAACAAAGTTCTTTGGGTGCTCAATAATTTTTTGAGGATAAAGTGGTCCTGAGACTGAAAAGTTTGAGCATCACTGCCTTCTGCTGTAAATTCCTCAGGGGTAAGGAATCCTCCGGAGCTCACCACAGAGCTATTACAAACCAATGCTCAATAAATGTTTGTGGAATGATAGCCATTTTCTTGCAGAGTGCTCACTCAGCAGCATTTTTGAAAGAGATTCACATAACCATGTCTCTGGATTGAATGACTGAATAGAAATTTCATATATATTTGTAAATTCTTAGAGTTAATGATGAAAAATTTTTAGTCACTGAATTCGTAGTCATTCTGGTTTTGTGTTTTGTCTTTTACTGGATAGTAAAAGTTTATCTATTGTTATGTGACTTAGACTTCTTTTAACTTAAAGTTCTCAAGAGTTTGGGAACTGCTGGTCTGTCAATTTATAGCTTAAAATAGAACCAGACAGTTGGTGTTTCCATTTGAGTCCTATCAGTTTCTAGCTGCATGGCTTGGCCGTAAGATGAGGGAGTCAAGGCTGTTACCTTCAGACTTGAGCTGCATTGTTCTTCATGCTTTCATGTTTTTAGCACCTGGCTTCCTGACATTGGCTTTTAAACTTTATTCTTAGAATTCTTGGTGATTTCAGTATGCATTTAGATGATTTTTTTTCTTTAGAATTCTGACTTCTTAATTCCTTGACATCCTCTCTCACAAATATTTTCTGCTTCGTCTCAGTATGTATACTTGTGCCCTCTCCCTGATTCATTCTCAAAAATCCCACATTGTAACTGCCTCTAGTTGTCATAATGTCTAGTACTTCTGCTCCAATTCTTTTTTTTTTTATATGGAACGCTTCATGAATTTGCGTGTCATCCTTGCGCGGGGGCCATGCTAATCTTCTCTGTATCGTTCCATTTTTTTTTTTTTTTTTAGTATATGTGCTGCCGAAGCGAGCACTCTGCTCCAATTCTTGATACTCATCATTGATCCTGTTAACTTCTCATAGTGCTTCACCTTCCTCATGTTCTCACTTCTGTCATGTCTCTGCTTATAGTCACGTGGTCTGTCATTATGATCACTCCCTAGCGTATACCTTCTTTGTTGATCCTCTCTTCCCAGCAACTCTGGTTGAAATCCAACTCTGCCTACACCAGGTTGTTAGACGTCATTGAAGAAAAAATACTTGGTCATCTTAACTCTTTTCCCTTTAAGTTTCAGACATTAACCTTAAGTAGACGATTTGTGTTGGCTGGCAATTCTCCTGCAAGTTCTAGAGTTCTCCAGTTTTCCAAGACAACTGTTGCACATCTGTTGCTTTACACTTTTCTCCCCAGCCCTCCTTCTCGACTGATGACCTTGTTTGCTTGAAGTCACCTTGCACTTAACTTTCCTTTCCTTGACTGGGTAAAGCCTAGCCTTTCTACTTATTCACTATATGACATCCCCTTTTGCCTATAGATGAACATCATCCTAGCAATTCTTTTCTTTTCTCACCAGCATCAATTCCTCCTTTTCTGCTGGACCATTGTCATCCGCATAAAAACCTGCTGTAATGTCTCTCATTTGAAAAACAAAGCTAAACTCCCCCTTGATTCTGCAACTTTCTCCAACAGGAAGAAGCTTCTCCCTTTTATAGGAGTACTTTCGGAAAGAGTGGCCTGTTGTTTCTTTTTCCTTTTCCTCACTTTCTTTAAAGCTTATTCTAACCAGACTTTTTTCTTCATCTGTCTACGTAAGTCTCTCCTGTGACCTTTTCAGCAACACTGGACACAGGTGAACACTTTCTCTGCTATGATTAGTTATATATAGAAAAATATAAGATTAGTTCAGTTCAGTCGCTCAGTCGTGTCATTAAAAAAGTAATTATTTAAAAATTCCATATAATCACCATCCTAGTTAAGAAACAGAACATTGTCAGCTCCTCAGAAACATTTATTTATCCTAACACATCACTTCCCTGCTCCTTGAACTACTGATTTTTGATAATACTCTTGATTTTCTTTAAAGCTTTTCCACCTTTGTATGCTTTCTTAATTTAATTTGCTATTGCCTAGAACTTTATAGAAATAAAATCCTACTGAATTTAATCTTCCGTGACTGGTGTCTTTCTGTCCAGTGTTGTTTGGGATACTTTCATGTTACTGCATATAGTCAGAGTTCATTTTATACTTATATAGTATCCATTATGAATATGCTGTAGCTTAGCCATTGTACTTTGGAAGGACATTAGGCTTCTTTTTATTTTTTTGGCAGCCACCCACATTGTTGCTGGCAGCTTACTTATATATGCCTTCTGAAGTATAGATGCAGGAGTTACTGTGGACCAGTATATGATCTAGGAAGTGGTACACATAGCAATTTATATTCTTACCAGAAGTGTATGAGAGTTCCTGTTGTTTTATATATCCTCAACAACATTTGCTATTGTCAGACAGTTTTTCTGACATGAAACACTACTTTTCATTTGACTTCCAGGTCATTACTTTGTCATGGATCTTTATACCACTGTACTTTCCTCAGCTGTCTTTGTTTTTTCTTGTCTTCCTGATTTTGAATGTTAAAGTGTCCTGGGTGCGGACCTCAGACCATTTTTCTTTATTTACACCCATTTCAGTTCAGTTCAGTTCAGTTCAGTCGCTCAGTCGTGTCCGACTCTTTGCGACCCCATGAATTGCAGCATGCCAGGCCTCCCTGTCCATCACCAACTCCCGGAGTTTACTCAAACTCATGTCCATCGAGTCGGTGATGCCATCCAGCCATCTCATCCTCTGTCATCCCCTTCTCCTCCTGCCCCCAATCCCTCCCAGCGTCAGGGTCTTTTCCAATGAGTCAACTCTTCGCATGAGGTGGCCAAAGTATTGGAGTTTTGGCCTCAGCATCATTCCTTCCAGTGAACACCCAGGACTGATCTCCTTTAGGCTCGACTGGTTGTTTAGACTCTTTCAGAGACGTCATCTAGTTTCTTGTCTTGAAAAACCTTCTATTCACTGCAGATTCCCAAGTTTACATTTATACTCTAGACTCCCAGCCCTTGACCTCAGCCCTCCCTATCTAAATGCCTCTCAGTGTTTCCACACGGATATCTCACAGACACCTCACACTTCAGATGTCCTGTCCTTACTCTCCTTCTCACCTGTGCTTCCCATAGTTATCACCATCCCAGACGTTGGAAACTACCCATCTCCGTGCTCAGGCCCAAAACCTTCACCCTTGTGTCTTCTCTTTCTTTCACCCACATGCACATCATCAGCAAAACTGGCTGTTTTACTTTAAAGTGTGTCTAGTATTCAGCTCTTTAACTTCTTCACTGCTGCCATCCAGGCCTAAGTTGCCCTTGTCATCTCTTACCTTTGTTATTGTCTGTCTACTGTGCCTAGTCTTCCTTGCCCATCTTATCTGTTCTCAATAAAGCAGCAGGTTTCTTTTTGTTGTTCCCCTTATTATCTATAATTACAGATTCATAGGAAATTGCTAAGCTTGTACAGAGGTGTCCCATGGAATCTTCACCTGGTTTTTCTCCATGGTTACATCTTACATAACTATAGGAGAATATGGAAACCAGGAAATTGACATTTATACAATGTGGGTATAGGTTTTATGCCACTTTATCACATGGTAGATTTGTGTAACCCCCGTGACAATCAAGACACAGATGATTTCATCACCACAGAGAACTTGTGTTTGTAGCCAGTTTAGAGCAATACCACTCCTCTTCCTTCAGCCATCCTCAAGCCTTGGAGTGAAAGTCACTCAGTCGTGTCTGACTTTTTGCAAGTAGGAGTGGGTAGCCATCCTTTTCTTAAGGGGATCTTCCCAACCCAGGGATTGAACCTAGGTCTCCCACATTGCAGGCAGGTTCTTTACCAGCTGAGCCACCAGGGAAGCCCTCAAGCCTTGAAAACTACTGATTTTTCTGCATCTCTGTAG